AGGAGGAGAGCTAGTAACGTTAGCAGCACCGCTAACGGCTAACCAACGGAGGTTCACTTCAGTTACATTATGATGCCTTCAGGCTCTGCTCAGTGAACATGAGTACTGGCTGAAGGTACATTATAACGTTATCATGATGTGTTCACATGTCATCTGTAAAATGTAGTTTTGGTGATGAACTTGCCTGTGACTGTAGCGAGGAAGATGAAGCGGATCCACTGTGGTCCCTGCTCCTGGATCAGCAGCAAGGTGATTGGCTCACAGTCAAACCCCGCCTCCTCCTTCACCTGCAGACAAAAACAAGAGCGTTAACCCAGGTAACAGGGACATGTGTGTGTGTGTATATGTGTCTATGTGATTGTGGGTCTGCGCGTGTGTGTGTGTGTGTCTCACCTCCCTCCTCAGACCCTCCTCCAGACTCTCCCCCACCTCCACCCTCCCAGCAGGCAGGTACCACTGTTTGTAACAGTCCTGCTTCGCCTCCTGCACCATCAGCACCTCCTCCTGATGGACGACACATACACACAGACACACACAGACACAGACACACACACACACTTATAGACCCAACATCAGCTGACTGACGAAGCAGACCGATGGACTTAATGGTGACGTCACCTTGTCATTGAAGATGACGGCACAGACGATGTAGGTGACGTTCTTCCTCAGAGACGCTGGTTTGCTGTCTCTCTGCTCCAGACCCACATCACACCCCGTCACCTCTGAGCCCTGACCGCCCAGCAGCCGCTCCACCTGCTCCTCCACCTGCTCCCTCACCTCCATGTCTGCAGGTACACAAACACACTTTATTACACTAAAGTAAGAACTGATTCTAAATATGGAACCAAAAATACTTCAAATTAGAATAGAAAACTCAAACACAAGCAATAAAATAAAACAAATTATACAACATTAGCACAATAGGAAAACAAGGAAAACTAAATGACGAAGCATCCACCGTCCTTCTAGAAACGTCTCCAGACTCTTTTTAATCTTCTTTTTACGTCTTTATTCTTGCTTTTATTAAATTTACTCTCATCTTGTCAACTAATTAATTCCATAAATGTTTTTAAATACAATTAAACAAGTATGAAAGGTGCAATACAATATTATAAGTATTAATATTATATAATAGTACTTCATCAAACTGATGCAATAGCAATATATATATATATATATATATATATATATATATATATATATATATATGCGCCATATATTAAGTAGACCAATATTACTTATTATAATGTTAGTACTTCTGTTTATTCTCAGTGAACTGTCAGTATTCTTACATTTAACAATGCTAATAAAAATAAAATATATATATATTTTAAATAAATGTTTATTTGATGTAACCAAAGTGCTTTAAAAATATATTTTTTCAAACCTACTTGTCCATAAATAAATACTGAATTAATTGATTATTGTTGTTTATAAGAAGCCCAACATGCAGAGTAATTAATGGCTTTATAAGCTAAACTAATTAGCGTCAGTAAGCTAACGTTAGCTTCATGTCGTCAGAAGCGCCATTTGATCAAACTTCCAAACCGGAAACGGGTTTTATGAAAACACTCAGAAACATGTTCAGAAATAAAAGCACGAACCTTTATGTGATGAACGTGTTAAGTCTCCATTCAGTGGTTCCGAGCAGAATGCTGCGGCTCTGTTTTGACATTTGACACCTTTAAGCCAAACCGGACATAAACATTCTTTTCCGGTTCGGGTTTTTTCAGAATAAATAAATCATAATCCTTAATCAACTTTGTTTATAAATTAATTAAAGCTTTATTATTCTTCTCAACCAATATGTATCTGCTACACACCAGCTAAAGATGTGTCATCACAATTTCTGGTGTTTTGATCAAGACGGAATGTTTTTAATTTGTATTATTTATTCATTTAAATCATCAGTTCACATGATTTTAAGGGATGTGAAATCAATATTCCTGCTAGACGTTTTAATGTGTTGAATTTTTCTAAATGAATAATAACAAATAAAATAGTCTTAATATTCTGTGTTTTGAAAATATTATTTTATTGTGAAATCGTTCACCGGAAGTTGTAGTCTTTTGTAGTCTTCTGGCTTCACAGTCGTGTTGTAACTCGTAATAAGGTCACACAGAGACGGTTAGCATCAGCTAGCACAGCTACTAATGAAGTACTGGTTGTAGTTCTGTTGATTAACTATAATATATTTAACCAGCGGACACGGGTTGAAGCAGTAAATCATGTCTGAAAGCACAGTTTGAACAGGTAAGTTAAGCTAACTGGTTTAACTGTGTTACTGGTTTATCTCCAGTTTAACTAACATGAATGATGTGTTTGTGTTTTATTGACACGTTAGCAGCAAGCTAACAGTTTCTGTTCGTTCTTAACTTCATTTAAAACACATAATGGTCCGTTTATCTGCAGCTAATACTAGCTCATACTGTTGTTTATATTACTTTAACTACTGTAGTACTAATACATAAACTAGTATTCCATCTGTATGTTTGTCCCACAATTAGCACATCCTGATAATAGACGTACTGACGTGTTGACGTATTGATGGACAGGTAGTTGTCCCATCATCTAAACTCGGTGTGTTTTACTCTACAGTCTAACAGCTGTTCCTCTCTCCATTCACTCAACATCTGTTCAACACCTGGAAACCTCAGACTCTCTCAGCCAATCAGAGCTCCCCGTTCACCCCCTCACCTCAGAGACACCTGACAGAGGAGAGCGAGGATCGGAGCCCTAAAACTCACCAGAGAGGAGACAAATCGGAGCGTCGTGGTGCGTTCAGGGTCCTCTCTGATGTGCTGAACTTTCCCCTTCACGTCCACACAGTCAGAGTTCACAGCAGCCTCTAGTTGTGAAGACACTCCAGCTTCCCGTCTACCCGGTTCTGATCGGGGTCCGAATCGGTCCGGATGGCGCGGCACAGCAAGCTGCAGAAGCAGGTCCTGGTTCTGTACCGGCACTTCCTGCGGGCCGGTCGGGACAAACCGGGCTTCGTCCCGCGGATCCGCGACGAGTTCCGAGAGAACGCTCGCATCAAGAAGACGGACGTGATGCACATCGAGTATCTGTTCCGCAGAGGACAGAGACAGCTGGACCAGCTGAGGGACGTCAACACCAAACAGCTGGGCTCCTTCTGCAAACCTGCAGAGAAGAGCTGACCTGGTCCCGATCCTGATCCTGGTCCCGATCCTGATCCTGGTCCTGACTCACACCAACAAACAAACCTCTCAACACTCTAAAACTGTCATGCTGAGATGCTGCATTCAAGTCCAGTGGGAGAAACGAATGCTCAGCATGGAGGAAACATGAGACGTGATTAATCGTGACATATTTTGGATGTTAAATATGAAATATAAATGCTTTGGACTCATGAACATGAATCATCTTCCTTTGACTTCACGTGATGATAATACACTCAGTGATGTGAAAATGATTCATATTTCTTTAATTATTATTATCAACATGTTCACACATATTAAAGTTACACACGTAAGATACTAAAGCAGGACGCACCTTAGTTCATATTGTATCAGTAACAAAGTACATTTACTCAAGTACTGTACTTAAATACTATTTCCTGGTCATTTTCTTAAGTGAAGTATTTCATGTTTATGCTGCTACTTATACTTACATCTCAGAGGTAAATATTGTAGTTTTTACTGCTTTCATGTAATAATAAGAAGATTTTACAATGAAAACATGATGAATTTATTAAATATATTAACCTTTTCTATACTATAGTGTATATAATATATACACTATAGTATATATAGTAATAGTATATATATATATATATATATATATATATATATATATATTTTAGGGGTAATGTAATGTTTCACAAAATTCTCGGTTCGGTTCAATACGACACAGTGGTCAATACAGCAAAAAAACAGAAATCCAAATCCTCGCAAGTGAGACTCTCAAGGGGGCGTGTCTGAAGATCATGGCTCCTCCCACTCAGTAGTGAGGTTGTTGTAGCTGTGTCTCAATTCAGGGGCTGCATCCTTCGGACGACCCAGCCTTCGCGGTCTACGTGGGCCGCGTCCTTTGAGGACCGCGTAGGCTCGACCGTGCGGTCTACGAAATGAGACGGCCTACGCTACAGAGGACTTCCTGTTTGCGTCAACAGCTGTTCCTGCCCCGCCCCCCTCTTGCTGCTCCCGTCCCTAAAATCCCTGCTCAACAGGATTATAAATATATATACATATAAATACATTAAACTAAAACCTATTCAGTATATATACTGGAAAGGTTTTAGTTGAGTGTTTTAATCAGTTTTTTATCATATATTCAATAATTCATTCATAGATCTTTTTCATAATATTGTTTTTCTATATTAATAATCAGTTAATTAAATCAGTTACTAATAACTAATTTTCAATCAGTTATAGTTCTTGTAATTAAATTAATTTATCAATAACTTTATTTGATTTCATTCACACATACATTTAACGTTATATATATATAGCAATCCTAAAGCAGAGGAAATCAATCAAGACAGTTAACATTAACAGCAGCAAAACAAATGTCAGCAAACGTGTTCATTAACTCTCAGTAACACATGTGCATATACTTTATATTTTTTAAATAAGTTGATGAAAAGAGAAACATTTATCAATAATGTTCACACAGGGATGCAAACTTAGAAAATTGACACATTTTACACAGCAGAACATACACATATTCACATAGAAATCATTTACATGGACGTCTTATGTCAATTTAAATAAATAAAAAGGTGACATCACAACTGTCCTCTCTGTGACAGCAACATGAACACATGAGAAGGATCTACTGGTTGTGTTGTTAGTGAAGGCTTTGTACAGGATGAGAGCTCATGTAACTGTAACCTTCAGTACAGGATGGTCACATGGAGATATTACAAATGGACTAATGTCTTAATTCAAAGCTACGGCTGCTGAATGTTTGTCCATCGCTCTCCCCTCAGCTCCTGCTCTCTGTAACAAAACAAGAACACAATCAGCAAAATACTCAAATTCAGTGTATTCGTGTAGTTCATCTCAACGTTTGAAACGTTACCGGACTTAAAGTGATATTTCAGGTTCACAACCTGTCTGCCTGAGCTCACGTTGGTCCGTTTATGTACATAATATGAAGTATAAATCATCTGTAAAATCATCACAAACTCAGTGAGATATTATTCAACCTCTGAGGTTTGAAAGTGAAGTTATTAAAAGTTACTTTACAAGGCTTACTACGGTCGGATGCAGGCAGCCGAGCTGCCGGTAATAGCGCACCGGCACGCAATGCATCTTGGGATATGCTGGGCCGCGAAGGATACATCAGATGTGTCCTCCAACTCTGGGACCAGAAGGCTGCATTCTGCATTGAAGGACTCTTCAACAGATATGCGAAATGGGACAGCACTAGTCGCAGCGCTGTGACGCAACCGGTCTACGACTGCAGCCTCCGAAGGATGCAGCCCCTGAATTGGGACACAGCTCTTATCTCGTTTCCTCTCTCCTTGCGTGACGGCCCTCCCTTCCTGCTCCTCTTTACTTTCACTTCTGGAGCTCGTGATGTCGCAGCTTCTTCTTCTCTGCTTCTAAAGGTTAGTGAGCGACTCTGATTATTTGAAAAGGTGAATTCAGTTTGATTTGACTGTTTTAAAATAATTAGTGACGATCTGGAGGAAGCAGCTTCCTCTTTAACTTCATGTTGAAGCACAAACGTGATGATCCTCAAATAAATGACGCTTTTACTGCTCAGTGACGTTTAGACAGAAACTCATTTTATGTGTGTAAGCGTCTGTCTGCACAAAGAAGCTGTTCAGCTGATATTAAACCGTTTTATAAGATCAACCCAACAAATAATGATGGTGTTTTATTGTGAAAAGCTGTAAACGGTGAAATGAGTCAGTTGAAGGTGCAGGTTTCCCTTTGAGCCACCAGAGGGCGACAGCTCCACTAACAGCCTCATTGAGAGGAGACATCAGTGTGACTCCATCACAGAGAATCAGGACGTTGGTGTGAAGGAGGAATGAGTGCTGATGTGCTGATCAATGATTGGACGGATGCTTTCAGCTCTGCTCTCACTGGTTCCTCTACACATGAAGGTACAAAGTGATATGAATTCAGCAGCAGCTAACAAGGTCACATGACTGATTTTGGATTATTGGACGAGCTGCTTCCTGCTCTGACTGGATGTAGTAGACGTGGAAACAGAGGAACACTTCAAACGTTGAAGAGCTTTTCAAAGTCACTCAAATAGAAGTGAAAAGTGACGTCATCCCCAAAGAGGCCAATAAAAAGCCAGATGAAGAGTCTTCCTCTCGTCTTCAAACAAGCCAACAGACTAAAGAGCATTGTGAACGTCATCTCTTAGAGAGGACTCTGCAGCTCAGAGTGACAACATGGAAACTGTCCCATGAGTGTCTTTAGTATTGAGGTGAATGAGCTGTGTGTGTTTGTCATGATGAAGAGAAATAATGTTGTTGTGTTTGTGTGAAGGTGTGGACTCTGCTATGAATCAGTGTGAGGACAGAGAGGAGGGAGTCCCTCCCTCTAGAACCAGCCACACCAAAGCTCAGAGGTGAGATGACCATTTCTACCTGTCCATGACTCAAAGTCTTTCATTCACTGACTCTGATTCTACACATGTGACCAGGATCCATCAGGGCCCACACTGTCCTGGACCTGGACCTGGATCTGGATCTGGACCTGAACCTGTACCCAGCTGTGTGTCCATGAAGAGTGACCAATCTATGGATCATTTTATAGTCTTCAAAGATGGACGCCACTCTGTTGATCAAAAGTGAGGATTTCAAACTGATGATGGTGATGATATTGGTGGTGATGATGATGTCAGAAGGTCACCACATGGTTCCTCTCTTCATCCTGATTGGACAGCATTACTCTTC